TTTCGCTTCCGTTACCCAGTCTCCACAGCGGTCTGATATAGTTGCTAGCTCTTCGTTGGGTATTGTATATTCTTGTTATTGTGATTGGTGACGTGTTAAGTGATAGCAAGACATTTAGATATGAGAGCGAGCGCTAAAAGTAAATACGGTTTTTAGTTTTTACTCATTCGATCCTTGATCTTATCATAATTTTGATTACAATTTCTTTCACATTATATCAGGTTGCATTGAACAATCCCAAATGGTCCGTAAAAATGAATAACGTGATCCATGATCAGTTATTCCCGTTATTTCGTATTTTTCCTAAGACGGTTATATAATATATATTATAATTTATATCAATGTCTTCTATTAGTATTCTGTGATGAAATATTTTTCATTAATATCTTTGATTGATTGTTACTATTATTATATATATCTGAAGTGTACCGTGCATTGATTAACATGTCTCAGTAGCAGAAGTTAAGAAGATGAAGATAGTATTAGCTGTAATAGCTGCAAGTTGTATTGTGATTTGTACCAAGGCTACCAGCTGTTACCAGTGCAGTGTAGCGATGCGGCCTTAAAGTACGACTCCGATGGCCGATGCCGCGAAGGAAAGTTTTGAATCGGGTGATGGAATTAAATTTATACGAGATAATTTTTCGGGCTGTGACTCATCCCACATGATGGCTTGCGATGAAACGGATGGCGAAAAGGACTGCGGACATGTAAGCGTGAGTGTAGTAGGTGAATCAATGTCAGCTGAATTTGTCTATAGAGAATGCTTGCCGGCCGACAGTTCCACTGCAACAGGGAAACTCACGGAGGGTATGGTATGTGAGGCAATGGAAGAACCTTTAGGAGAAATCGGATTTGATACTGATACTCTGTCCTGCAAATTGGAAGTCTGCAGTACTGATAACTGCAACATGAAATCCCAGGACGACGGAGAAAGGGAGAACTATGTGTCCTCGGAAAGTAAACTAACATTCTCTTTCCTTCTCATCCAGCTCGTCTCTTGCCTTGCAGTCACTCTATTTTAAGCTTAACAAGACTTAGACAAAAGAATGTAACGATTTATGTGACATAAACAATTATAACTATCGTTACGAATTATAAGGGTAATATTATGTAGAGTTAGATTATTCTATGCATGTAATGATAACGATAAGATCTTTATTCTTCACGTCCTGCAATTTTAGTTTTAGGTCTGAAAAAATCAGTACAACATGTTTTGCGTTTACTATCATTGTGGTCGATTGTATCAACATTTTTATATGTTTTGGGTGCTCATACTCATAGCCATAGCAAAATATTTGTTCTTTCTCTCACAACTCAGCTTTGTTATAACTATGTATATTAAAATTTTCGGAATAAAAAGTTACACTGGTAACTAATTGTACTAAAGATTTACTAATATAATGTAGAACTTGTGAAACTGGTAAGATTTGCAGACTTCTGAAGCTTTTAAAACTTTAAAACTTTAAAACTTATGCTATATTTACGAGTTTAAATTTGTTATAAAATACTCCGAAAGCATGTCAAAATGTTGTGTCATAGTGCATAGCTTGATCATGATGGCCATCGAGCCATTTTGGCATAATATGTTGCTGCAATAAAATAAGTGCTCGCAGGCATGGCCCATGGGCCTCTAAAAGTCTCAGTCTGTGCAATAGCTCTAGTAGACCGGATGAAGTGGTGGAGAGGGTGACAGACAACTGAACCCAATTGAACCTAGTTCCCACGCAGTTAACAGGCACTCAATCAGCTTAATTGGGTGACCAATCATCTTAAATCCCAAATCGACAACTGAACCCAGGTCATATTACAACTGCACCAAAACTGGAAATACGACAACTGAACCCAACGATCGGATTTTCAGGTCCTCCTTCTTCGCAGAGGACTGTCAACTGTGGTCATTATCACTATAGGATAGATCATGACCACTGTAAAATATTAATACATACATGCTACATGAAGAGGTCTCCTTCTAGCCGGTGGAGAGATTGAGAGAACAGCTTTTCCTGAAAAGGTCATGATCTGGTGCGCCATCAATTCTCGTGGAATCCTTGTATCACGTCGTGACCCCCACGGTCGTTTCCCACTTTATCGTCCTGACGATACAGGGGGAGCCTGCGCACTCGTGCGGCGGCGGGTCATACAACGTATGCGGTATGACAATGGAATCCTAGGACCTTACTTTTACGAAGAAAACGGAAGTCGGAAGTACTAGTAAAGTGACGGTCAACGGAGTTCGCTATATGGATTACCAGAAAACCTTTCTGGTAGTATAGGGGCCTAACTTCAAAAATAAAAAAATAGAAACGTCTAAGTTAACGGTGACGATAATGATAATAAGATCATAGCGAAATTGTGGTGAATGACAACATAATAATAAAGTGAAACTGATTGTTTTCAAAGTATTACCATGACACGATACAGAAACACTCGTTTGCTACAACAAACGAAAGCGAACTGAAAAAAGTGATGTCAATATAGAAAATCAATTAATCAACTTCAATGGACAATCAACTCTCAGCTAACAACGAGGGCTTCAAATCTAAAACAGATATCAATGAAAATAGCACGAAACAAGCCGCCTCATGAACTGCGACTCCAACTAAAGGATCTTTAAAACTGTTTACATCAGCAGAACAAAACAACTAAAGAAGCTCAGATCCCGCCCTCCCTCACACCTGCATTTAAAATAATATCAAAACAACCGCCAGTCACCTGACCTCCCAACCAGGCAGCCAGGACGCGGTTAGATTGGTGGCTTTGTCTGATCACCGCCTCCCCTCTGATAACAACAAAGCTAAACAACAGTTTTAACAGCCTGGTATGGTGAATTAGCTCTGTTGTGCGTGTTATGTGACTGTGAAATTGCACGGTAACTCCGTATGTAGTGTAAAGATAACGAAGAACAAAGATAACGAAGCGACTAAGAATTAGTTGGAGGGATAAACATGACGACCAGAACATTATTGATATTGCTTAACAAATTTTTGAAATAACGTGGAGGAATGTTTAAATAAAGAAGAGGGGGTCGTTTTTGTTTTTGCCATCTTGATTTAGGCTTTGGAATTTTCGGAAATTATTTACCATGCTCCTAAAACTGCATATCTCAATAAGAAAAGTGGCAAAAATGGTTCCGCCTTTCGGAGGACAGAAACCCTTAATCAAACTTCCAGGATAAATGGAAACTAGCGATCATCCTCAAACTGGCAATAGAATGGTCAATGTCCAAACCGTGCGACAACTCCAAGATCTCCCAAAGAAAAATCACCACACCACTCCTACATACATAACGTTCAATCTAGACCTACGTTTAACACAAACGTTTGGAGCAAACAATAGCAACTTGTAAATGTTAAAACCCCATTCCAATATAAAGTATACGCTGAAATTATATGATAAAACACTGGCGCTCACTATCAAGTATTCAAGTATTCAAGTAGCTGGAACAGTGTAGTGCATCAGTGTGCATGTTTGAGTTTATTTGCGAGGATTGCGGAATTAATTTACTACGACGGGTGGTTGGCTGACCACAAATACATTACAATAATATAATTAAAAACAAAGTCTGATACAACACGAGTCAAAACATGACTCACTAAATCCTCACTAAACAGCCAGCTAGCACGTCCTATCCTGTCATGAATATTGTGGCTAAAAGTAACGTGGATGGTTGGAATGGAGGTGAGGTGCACGTGATAACGCGGGGAAAAATAATTTATTAAATAAAGTAGCTGAGTATCTGAGCCGCAGATGAGAGAGGTAGAGAGAGCAGTAGAGAGAGGTAGAGAGAGGTAGAGAGAGAGGTAGAGAGAGAGGTAGAGAGAGGTAGAGAGAGGTAGAGAGAGGTAGAGAGAGGTAGAGAGAGGTAGAGAGAGGTAGAGAGAGAGGTAGAGAGAGAGGTAGAGAGAGGTAGAGAGCAGGTGAGAGAGAGATAGAGAGAGGTAGAGAGAGCAGCTTAGAGAGAGAGGTAGAGAGAGGTATAAAGAGGTAGAGAGAGGTAGAGAGAGGTAGAGAGAGGTAGAGAGAGAGGTAGAGAGAGGTAGAGAGCAGGTGAGAGAGAGATAGAGAGAGGTAGAGAGAGGTAGAGAGAGGTAGAGAGAGGTAGAGAGAGCAGGTGAGAGAGAGGTAGAGAGAGAGGTAGAGAGAGAGGTAGAGAGAGGTAGAGAGAGAGGTAGAGAGAGAGGTAGAGAGAGGTAGAGAGAACAGGTGAGAGAGAGGTAGAGAGAGATAGAGATAGGTAGAGAGAGGTAGAGAGAGGTAGAGAGAGGTAGAGAGAGGTAGAGAGAGAGGTAGAGAGAGAGGTAGAGAGAGAGGTAGAGAGAGAGGTAGAGAGAGAGGTAGAGAGCAGGTGAGAGAGAGATAGAGAGAGGTAGAGAGAGGTAGAGAGAGGTAGAGAGAGGTAGAGAGAGGTAGAGAGAGGTAGAGAGAGGTAGAGAGAGGTAAAGAGAGCAGGTGAGAGAGAGGTAGAGAGAGCAGGTGAGAGAGAGGTAGAGAGGGGTAGAGAGAGCAGGTGAGAGAGAGGTAGAGAGAGAGGTAGAGAGAGGTAGAGAGAGAGAGAGAGAGAGAGAGAGAGAGAGAGAGAGAGAGAGAGAGAGAGAGAGAGAGAGAGAGAGAGAGGTAGAGAGAGCAGGTGAGAGAGAGGTAGAGAGAGGTAGAGAGAGGTAGAGAGAGCAGGTGAGAGAGAGGTAGAGAGAGAGGTAGAGAGAGGTAGAGAGGGGTAGAGAGCAGGTGAGAGAGAGGTAGAGAGAGGTAGAGAGGTAGAGAGGGGTAGAGAGCAGGTGAGAGAGAGGTAGAGAGAGAGGTAGAGAGAGGTAGAGATATGGGATTAGAGCCACATCAGCCACCTGACGGGGTGGCTCTGATTCGTGGTTTTCAAGACTGTGCTGTAAACACGAACTGCATAGTTGTTGTACTGGGGAAAGTGTCGAGTAGCACTGAGGATTAATAATTTAATCATGATGTTAAGGAGTTTATTATCACAGACGGTAGAACTAACTTACCTATCATCTGATAGTGCAACTTCTGGTCCCGTTCTTTCATTTCCTCGTCACTAAAATAGGCTCCTTCAGATATCAGCTCTTGCATTCTTTTGTATCTCCTGTTTCTTATCACTGATAAAAACGTATGAGTGTCAGGGCAAATAACTTTTAAAAGTTTTAATTCTATCACATAACATAACAGTTTGGATTTAGAAGCGAGACTATTGGAAGAATGCCAATTCCGGGCAGTTCCTAAGAAAGACAGTCCACTACGGGTAGACTTTAGGTAGAGAACTTAAGACACTTTAGGTAGAGAACTTAAGACACTTTAGGTAGAGAACTTAAGACACTTTAGGTAGAGAACTTAAATTTAGGGTAGAGAACTTAACTTTAGGGTAGAGAACTTAACTTTAGGGTAGAGAACTTAAGACACTTTAGGTAGAGAACTTAACTTTAGGGTAGAGAACTTAAGACATTTTAGGTAGAGAACTTAAGACACTTTAGGTAGAGAACTTAAGACACCTTAGGTAGAAAACTTAAGACACTTTAGGTAGAGAACTTAAGACACTTTAGGTAGAGAACTTAACTTTAGGGTAGAGAACTTAAGACACTTTAGGTAGAGAACTTAACTTTAGGGTAGAGAACTTAAGACACTTTAGGTAGAGAACTTAAAACACTTTAGGTAGAGAACTTAAGACACTTTAGGTAGAGTACTTAAGACACTTTAGGTAGAGAACTTAAGACACTTTAGGTAGAGAACTTAAGACACTTTAGGTAGAGAACTTAACTTTAGGGTAGAGAACTTAAGACACTTTAGGTAGAGAACTTAACTTTAGGGTAGAGAACTTAAGACACTTTAGGTAGAGAACTTAACTTTAGGGTAGAGAACTTAAGACACTTTAGGTAGAGAACTTAAAACACTTTAGGTAGAGAACTTAAGACACTTTAGGTAGAGTACTTAAGACACTTTAGGAAGAGAACTTAAGACACTTTAGGTAGAGAACTTAAGACACTTTAGGTAGAGAACTTAACTTTAGGGTAGAGAACTTAAGACACTTTAGGTAGAGAACTTAACTTTAGGGTAGAGAACATAAGACACTTTAGGTAGAGATGCTCAAGTTTAATTCTCCGGAGATTGGATGAACTAGTTCAGATTTGGTCCGAACTGCAGTATTTCAGTTTAATATCCAAACCTTTATGTTGATTAGCGTCTTTTGTGAGTTGGTGCAAGTAGTGTGTTACTATAGGATCAGACCTGTGTTCCTTGAACAGGGCAACATCTTCTGGCTGAGAAACAACTGAGTTTACCTTTCGTTTATTAAGTTATTATTCAGAACTACTTCTTACCTACTATTAGTATTGCCACACTAAGTCTCGCTTGAATGACTTAAATGTACATCTTTGTTGGGTATATTTTAATGTCGAAGCGTGTAATAAATATTAGAATTTATTTATTTTTTATACTATATGGCCTAGAAAACATTCACAAACCATAGCTAATAATATGATAAAATATAAAGTTTGCTTCTTTGATATTATGGTGTCTGAACTCTAAAGTCTCTCAAAACTAAAAGGCAACTGTGAACCGGTATTGCTCTCTTGATGAGGGTATTAACACAATTTCCACTCCACTACTCGGAGAGACATTTACAGTTACCTGTAAAACAGAAGGAACACGTCTTGTACTTATTATTAATATTATTATTATACTCAGAAAATTGCGACACGTAGTTTGGTGAGTCTGAGTAGCAATGTTCTTAAAATGCATTATTTCAGTGAGGTTACTTGTTTACGTACCTATGTTGGAGCTGATCAGTGGCACTCCTTTCAATTCTATAATATTTCTATTTGATTTAAATCTATGGTTCCATGACGATATTTAGTGGTTCACATCTTCCATGTGGTTGTTAATTTGTGTCCCATCAACAATATATTTTCAACAATTTTTTGTTCAATAATTGTTATGAGTGATACTCTTGTTCATTTTTACACATTTGCTCATATCACTCACAGTCAGCCGCTCTGACATGGTTAACCACCTTCCTTGTGTTGTTGGTTAATCATATAAGCGGGATATAAATACCCTATTTCATTTCATCTTCTTTTTGTTAGTTCGAATTCTCAAGAGTGATTGAGATCGTAATGATTTATTGCAGAGTATGACAATAGCGCCAACTTCAACGATAGAGCACAAGCCAAAGTGGACTGTCAAAGATTATCAACTCCTGGCATTCAACAGCTTGATAAAGTTTGGAGACTCAGTAGAAATCTATCTACCTGGTGTGATTACACAAAAAGTTGCCTATGAATTGGATTTGAGCAAGATTCAGGAAGGGTTTTTGGGAGTGACCATGTACATTGCCATGGGAATAGCCATACTTATCGCCGCCCCATTTTCTGACAGGTGAAGAAAAAACTGTTGATTGATCAAAATAATTATCTAACTGTAATTTAACTGACAGTTTGACTCCCAATAAGGGCTACACTTCCGATCTAATAACTATACTTATCTTCTTTCTCTTTCTCTTTCAGTTTCTCTTTCTCTTTCCCACAATCACTAATACATATTCCCACAAAGATTTGGAAGAAGACCAGTACTCCTCCTCTCCCTCTACACTTCAATTCTCTTCACACTCCTCTGTGCGATAGTCCCCAACTACACAACCCTCCTCCTCTCCAGAGCCCTAATAGGTCTGTGTGTCGGGCTGAACATGTCCACTGTCGGTATATTCTACGCTGAACATGTATCTGATCGGGGTCACTACGCTTTTGGGATTTTTCTGGCGAGTTTTGTGTTTTCAGCAGGTGGTGGCTGGGTTGCTCTTCTAGGGTATTATCTCCTAGATGTAGTAGGATGGAGGGTATTCGTTTTGTGTACCTCAATTCCTCTTTTTGTGCCACCTATACTTATACTACACTGTTGCATAAAGGGAGAGAATAGGAATAGTGGGACTGAACAACCTCTATTGGTTACTCGAGGAGAAGGAGATACACCGAGCGAGTCTAAGGAAATCATCCATGTTGAGAATCTCGCCTCAAGGCTTACCAAAGTCAGTCTCTTTGTCTTTATCAACATCTTCCAAGGATATGGGAGTATACTTCTGCTCCCAGGATTGTTACGAGATAAGAACGAGGAAAGGTGCAAGGTACTGATGGAGAACCAGGAGGGACCCTGTAACAGTGTGGTAGATGGTAATCAGTTCCTGATTCTAGCTCTGGTAACGGGTGCTGGCAACTTGTTCGGACGCGGGGTGGGATATCTTCTCATTAGAAAGATTAGATTCCGAATCCTTCAACCAACTCTGGCATCAATCCTTTCTGTCGGATATCTCCTTCTTTTATTCAAGAATAAAAGTATGATATTGGTTGTTTGCTCAATGGGGTGGTGTAAGATAGTTTACTCAATGATGCGATGTGAAACTTCTCTCCTTTCATACGATCCTACGTTCTTCGGAACAGATACTATAGCTAAAGCAAGTGCAATCGTTCTTGGTAGTGGTATGTTCGGCTCCGTGATTGGTAATGGGTGTGCTGCATTCCTCAACCCCCACATCACGGTACAGGTCACATTTGCGTTAAGTTTGGTACTGATTGGAGTTGTGTGCAGCATAACAGAGCGAGAAAACTAAATAACCACCTTGTCGGACATAATTGTCACGGACATTACTTTCACGCTGAAGACCATAGCGTGAATAATTATGTCCGTGAAAATTATGTCCGTGGTATTAATTAAGGTCCGTGAATAATAAAGTCCGGTAATTATTTCTATTAATTATAGTGTGTGTGTCCCTACATATGCGTAGATATGTGTGTAGCCGATTACTATATTAGCTAATTAGTATACTAGGACAGATATAATCACTCCTCAGTCACATTCACTCTGTATTCAATTTACATAACAGTAAGTTAAAGTACTTAAGTTATAACACCATGATGACTATGACTTTGATTTCAGCAAAAGAGTAAAACAATTATTAAAAAATCACCACAAATGTTCACAATGTTTTGGAAATTTTTGGGCGGTCATGAGCGTGAATAATTATGTCCATGAAAAATTTGGTCGGTGAAAAACTTGTCCGTGACAATGATGTCTGATAAGGTAGTTAGAATCATTACGAAACTCCACATCCATGAAGTTTTAAGTTTCCCCGCAGTTTAATGCCCCCCCCCCCCCCCCTAAAAATGTACTGTACCCCCCCCCCCCCCTTAAAATGTACCTCCCCCTAAAAATGTACTGTACCCCCCCCCCCCCCTTAAAATGTACCTCCCCCTAAAAATGTACTGTACCCCCCTTAAAATGTACTGTACCCCCCCCCCTTAAAATGTACCTCCCCCCCTAAAAATGTACTGTACCCCCCTTAAAATGTACTGTACCCCCCCCCCCTTAAAATGTACCTCCCCCCTAAAAATGTACTGTACCCCCCTTAAGATGTACTGTACACCCCCCCCCTTAAAATGTACTGTACGTGACACGGAACTACTGTGAGTGAGACGGAACTAGACAGAACATGCCAACAATCTGGTGACTTGTAAACTAACACCACTACAATCTTCACATAATATCAGGGGAAGTGGAAGTTAAAAAGACTCTGACCAGCTTGCTTGTGAGCTTGTAATGTTTTATGCAGATTATTTGTGAAGTTATAGGCTGGGGGGACAATGGTATAAAATGGCATAAAATGGTATAAAATGGCATTAAATGGCATAAAATGGCATAAAATGGCATAAAATGGAGACTTTTATAAGGAGAAAATGGAAAAACCCTTGGGTAATTCTCCGTTTATGCCATGTTATGCCATTGCCCCCCCCCCCCTCCCCCCCCCCCCCCCCCCCCCCCCCCCCCCCCTCCCCCCCTGTAGGCTCACTCAGAATCTATTATTTGGTGATGAGTTAAGCAGAGCTTTAGCCAGCGATTTTTTTGGGGCGAGCGATTTTATGAGGCGGAACTCGCTGGTCAAAATGTTAGGGAAAGAGGTCGGGCCTTTATCAAGGAGCTCTAAGAGTTTACGTGCTCCTTAAAAATACCCACATCCCCTCCATTTCCACTGATTACAAATAAATGTGAAAACAGCAGGACACACATATTATATAATATAACGGCCGCTAAAAACTGGCTGATAAAAGCTTGAAATAGCAATATTAACTGACTAGTAGTATTAGTAATCATACCTTGTAGTATTAGTAATCATAACTAGTAGTATTAGTAATCATACCTTGATACAGGACAAATATCTGTGTAAGAACTGAGTAGGTTTCTCCTGTAACAAACTCATCAGATACTTGATCTTATCATCCTCTGTAGGATCAGGAGCATCTTTCTGAACTGACATTATGATCAAATCGCTGGATGTTATTCTGTTGAACAAGTCTCTCAGACCAGGGGAGACTGGTAATTGTGATGTTTCTTTAGAGGCGGAGGAGGTTTCTTTAATCTCCGGAGCAGTGGTTTCTGTGGTATGTGGTATTTCTAGATCTGAGGCCTGTTTATCAGATGTTGTTTCTGACGCCATACTAAGATGTTGTCTCGCGGGTGCGGCTGTAACAGCAGTACTCACATTATCACGTCATATGCTACAAAGGCACACTTCCGTTGTCGTCCATCTTTAGATCTATAATTGGATTACAATTTTAGATTTGGTGATTACATATTGTGCCAAATATCTGCTTTGAAAATGTTTTTGGTTGTGGTAGTGGAAGGTCATGAGTTCTGGATATAACATCATCTACGAGTATAAAATGACTTATGCCATATAAGTGAGTTGTCCCAAACAGTGGTTTATCACCTAATTTGAAGACGGTTTTTGAAATTGATCTACAATTTTGAGATAAGATTTGATGTAATGTAGTGTCTAAAAATAGCATCAAATTGGTCACACTGTGTACAAATTAGAAAATGGCCTGTTCAGTGTTCATGATACAAGTAATCAGGCTATTCTCCTATCATTTGCTGTTTAGGTCAATCGATATCATGTGGGTCAGATCTTTGTGTTCATCTCAGTCAATCTTTATCGAATTAAGATGTCACTTTACCATGTTCAATACACATGATAAAAGACTAAGCAGTAAATAAGAAATCTTTATCGTATCATGATGTTAGAACTTAGAAAAGGACTGACTCAAATCAAGGAAACAACAACATAATAGTGATACTATTACTAAGTTCAATTCATTAGTTTAATGTTGTAGGAGAAAATTTTCAAATATTCAACAAAGACAATCATATCAACATTCAATATTATAAAATACCTGGAGTTAATAATCTTTCATTTTAACTTAAAACAGTAAAGAATATTTTCAAATGCAATACATTTGAAGCTTTTTAACGTTTTAATGAAGTTGCCTATTTTACAAGCATATACGCTAGCTATCTTGACTTATTAACAACCCCGTTACAGTGCTGTAAAATCATGCTTATCTCCAAATTATGCAGCTCATCACAAAATAGGGACAGTGCTTTAGACTGAGCTGATCTAGAAAACAAATCAGTCAAAGATTTCCAACTCCACGGCTTTCTACCCTTGATATCGTCCAACAAACATTTATCCGCCTCTTCAGAGACTTTCCTCGCCCCAATATTTTCAGCAGCTTTAGAAACCTTGTTAAACAGCACATGATCAGGAGGTGTCTCACTGAACCAGGACCTAGCATTATCCCACCCAATCATCCCTAGCTCCCCCACATACTTACCCTCCATCCGGTGCACCAGAGCGTGAGAATATGTAGCGTTACCCAGAGCAAGTGAGTCGAGAACAGCAGGACCACCCCACTCAGAATCCTCTGGTAGAGAATAGGGCAGAACTAGGTCATGTGCTTCATCAACACCACCTACCATCATGTAAACAAGTCCTAACATAACATCAGCATTGTGTTCCTGCTCCTTTGTAATGTGAGTGTTAACGCGCGCACTGCGCACCACTCCCTCACACACCATGTCATCAGGACCAGTAATACTCTCTATCACATCTGGGAGTCTGGAGCGATCTAACTCGTTGTAAGCTTGGTAGAGCATTGGGGCTCCTTGATGAGGGAGAGGGTGTTCTTTAAAATACTCAACTACTGAAACCACTGAGGTTGAGTAGGTTGTGTTAGCCATGTTTTCAATCAGTCCTTGTACCAGTGATTGGATATCTCTATTACCAAAGTCTATACGGTGATCGGCTCCTCTTTCTCTATTCCCTTCACTGCTAAGAACATTGTATAAGCTGCAGTTATGAAAAATAAGTTTTCAAATTTTGATTAACATGGTTCTAATTTCTTTATTAATATAATATGTTCTAATTTCTATATAAATATAAAAGTGATTTGTTTACATAGAAATAAGAAACACGTAGCAACAGCTCTAGCTCAGGCCTTAGATTTGTATCAACGGATAAGCCATAAATTATTTTTCTGAGCTCAAAAAGAACTTGATCAATCAAAAAAGGATATTAAAACTATAATGTTGTAATATTTTAATATAATTAATTGGATTTGATAACATTTGCGTAAGTTATAAAGTTAATAGAATTACAATAGTTTAAAAGTTAGTTTTATTTTTAATAGCATCGTTTAAGTCTGCTTGTTACTCTGCCTCTTGCATATATATTATATTTATGTCTCATGATAATCTAAAAGGATTATAAAAAATAGGGCCACGCTTATCATAAAAGGGTAACCTAAGAACTTGAATTGTTTCCATATATTTGCGATAAGAACTATGAAGTCTGCATGCACAAGCACATAAAATTGAAAATCTTGTAAAATAACTAAAATATAATGTGACTCTTCTAGGATCATGAATTATTGACAGTAGAATTACAGTGTCTAAAAAGAATATCAATCTCCAGGTTATGAATTTTATCACAGAATGAAGCTATCTCCGAGGAACGATGTGAATGATAACACAGATTTGTAAAAGACGTCCAGTTCCAAGGTTTATTACCTCTTATCTTATCACAGAACTTCTTATCTTCACCGCTAAAGTTGTGCTGTATTTCAAGACTCAGACAAGTCTCAGAGAGATTATTATAAAGAACGTGTTCTGAAGGAACTCTCCCAAACCAGAAGTGAGCATTGTCATACCCCATCATCCCTCCCTCTCCTGGATGCTCCCCCTCCATACGATGAACTAGTGCATGGCAGTGTGTTGCGTTACTCAGAGCCGGGGAATCCAGGACTGCAGGTCCACCATATATAGTATCACAAGGCCAAGAGTAGGGCAGAACTAGGTCATGTGCTTCATCAACACCACCTACCATCATGTAAACAAGTCCTAACATAACGTCTGCATTGTGTTCCTGCTCCTTTGTAATGTGAGTGTTAACGCGCGCACTGCGCACCACTCCCTCACACACCATGTCATCAGGACCAGTAATACTCTCTATCACATCTGGGAGTCTGGAGCGATCTAACTCGTTGTAAGCTTGGTAGAGCATTGGGGCTCCTTGATGAGGGAGTGGGTTTTCTTTAAAATACTCAACTACTGAAACCACTGAGGTTGAGTAGGTTGTGTCAGCCATGTTTTCAATCAGTCCTTGTGCCAGTGATTTGATCTCTCTATTACCAAAGTCTATACGGTGATCGGCTCCTCTTTCTCTATTCCCTTCACTGCTAAGAACATTCTATAAGCTGCAGTTATGAAAAATAAGTTTTCAAATTTTGATTAACATGGTTCTAATTTCTTTATTAAAAGTGATTTGTTTACATAGAAATAAGAAACACGTAGCAATAGCATTATCGTGTAAGTCTGCTTGTTAATCTGCCTCGTGCATATTTATTATATTTATGTCTCATGATAATCTAAAAGGTTTATAAGAAATAAGATACGGCCACGGCTTATCAGTAACCTAAGAACTTGAATTGTTTCCATATATTTGCGATAAGAACTATGAAGTCTGCATGCACAAGCACATAAAATTGAAAATCTTGTAAAATAACTATTAAATATAATGTGACTCTTCTAGGATCATGAATTATTGACAGTAGAATTACAGTGTCTAAAAATAATTTCAATCTCCAGGTTATGAATTTTATCACAGAATGAAGCTATCTCCGAGGAACGATGTGGATGAGCACACAGATTTGTAAAAGATTTGCATACGTCATGATATCATAAATTAGTTTTGGTTAGTTTTAGTCAAGATTTCAAATATCAACTTGAATTGTGTTTTATCTATTGTATCATAATATGGCGGTATTCAACAGGCAAATTGTGTTTTATTGCGCCGAAATATTGAATGCATGATTCATTCTTTGCTGTCGAAAACAATAAAAAACAACTTTAGAAAATTCTGAACTTTATTGAAATCGTTAAAAAATTACAAACATGAAACAAAACATGAAGAATGCCTAAAAAACAGTAATTTAACCGAAAATAGTCAAATTCGGTCAATTCTTCGATATGGTCGTTTAAACTTTTAAATTGTATTAAAAATTATCAGGCAGATTAAAAGGTCACCACATTATAAATTAGTGATAAAAAGAGAAAGAATCGGTCAATTTTTGTTTATATTTGATAAAATAAATCCCTTGCAGATACTAAAAAATCATGTAAAACGCCCAAATATAATTTCTTGTCCCCCTTTCAAGGTATTACACACAGTATAAGTGTATCGGCCATGTATAGAAAGAACATAGTTGTGACAAACATCTCTTATCAGTATGGTGTGATACCAGAAACTTTCTCAAACTAAAAATACCCGGAAACGAGTATCATGTGATATCAAATTTCATCACGAAGAACAGAAACTAGTAAAATTTGTGTGATTTCAGCATTAGGTCAGTGGTTGCTGTTCCCATGTGCGTAAGCTTAAATTAAAATTTTATCATAAAGAACGAAGTTTGTACAGTTAAATAATCTTACTGAGTTACTGATCAAATTTAAGAGTTCTCAACACACTCTTTCTCTCTCTCTCTCTCTCTCTCTCTCTCTCTCTCTCTCTCTCTCTCTCTCTCTCTCTCTCTCTCTCTCTCTCTCTCTCTCTCTCTCTCTCTCTCTCTCTCTCTCTCTCTCTCTCTCTCTCTCTCTCTCTCTCTCTCTCTCTCTCTCTCTCTCTCTCTCTCTCTCTCTCTCTCTCTCTCTCTCTCTCTCTCTCTCTCTCTCTCTCTCTCTCTCTCTCTCTCTCTCTCTCTCTCTCTCTCTCTCTCTCTCCTCTCTCTCTCTCTCTCTCTCTCTCTCTCTCTCTCTCTCTCTCTCTCTCTCTCTCTCTCTCTCTCTCTCTCTCTTCCTCTCTCTTCACTCATTACATCATTATTATTATTATTATTACCCATGCGAATAAATGATAATAAGTGGCTGCACAGCAACACACACTGACACAGTAATATTAAGCAACGTCCAAAAGTCTTATCAATCAAATCAATTTAGTTTATTCGTTTTCTTTTGGAGTGTTGCCACATATGTTTCTCCAGATGATTGACTTTGGCTTCGCCTGATTCTGACTGTATAGGACCCTGTAAAACATAAAGTTAAGCACACTTGAAAGAAGCGCATCAGAAGTTCAAGTACCATGTCTGACCATACACAAATATTTGTAGACAATGGACATACACAACATTTTTAGCCAATTTCAAAAGAGAATTCTCTAAAATGAGTGCAAACCTAGACCTGTAAGAGCACTTTTCTTCGCTGTGGTTAGAGAACATAGACCCATCCTCATCATCACTGTTACGCGCCTTAATCTCAGGAGCTACTTTAGCCACCTCCTCCGTCACGTCAATAACTAACCAGTCCTGGTGGTACCTGTCCGGACCTGGGACTGCTGGGAGGGTCAGGATCAATCATCACAGTTGTTAAAACTAACAAACTTAATAGTACATTTAATGGGAATTATGCAAGAATTTAAAAAGACAGGATTATGTTTGTCATATTGATACAATGATCATATTGATTTTATAATTTGACCGAGAAAGTAAATCATTTAGCTATTTAGCAGTACAATGAATTTGAGGGTGGTTTCATAAAAGCAAATAAAATTAAACAACAAGTTTTTTTTTGGAAACATGTCTGGTTTGGTGAACCTTGTTACAAATTATTATACCTCCGGCAGGGTTATCAAGAGGCTCATGACAGGACTTAAAAACAGAACCTGGTTGGAACACATGAGTTATGGTGGGAAGCATAGGAAGATCCTGGACAGCTCAACCGAGGCATGTGTGGAAACTGTTCACAATGGCCTCATCCAACATTGGGAAGAGGACAGAACACTTTATATTATTAGCAGGTCAATGATATGTAATTTAATGGTTATGGAATTTTATTACCTTTGTCAGGATCCCTCCAACTCATGTGAGAATCTAGATCTCCTTGGGGTAAAGCATCATCAATTATCTCATCTTCTTCAGCGACAACATCTGCAAATTATTCGGATTAGGTTAGCATTATAATCTAGAATAGGATTCAATTCTTAGCCTGCAATTGAAATTGAGCTTGCATAAAATCACCACAAAGTGTTTTTTTTTCAAAATTGAAGGACAAAATGTATCCAATAATTGTAATTGATAAATAATAACCTCTGTCAAAGTGAGGGACTGGATCATAGTTGACAAAATGATGTCGAGATCCAGCAGACTGCGATCTTGCTATCTGAATACAGTCAGGTTCTGTTGCTGTCGTCAAAACTGAACCTGTTTAATTTTGATTATTTCAAAGTTAAGCCTAATTCTTATAAATAAAAGTTTTGATGTTAAAATATATAGTATAAACATCTGCATCAGAACATGATGATCCTTACTATATTTTTAAAGTCACTATTGTATTTCAAAGTTAAGCCTAATTCTTATAAATAAAAGTTTTGATGTTAAAATATAGTATAAACATCTGCATCAGAACATGATGATCCTTACTATATTTTTAAAGTCACTATTGTGACGGTACATTAGAACTAGACAGAAACAAAGTGTGAAGGGCCTGAACGGAACCCGTGCATGCTTACTGGTTCTAGCACGAAACTTGGGGGGCTGAGCTGCAGAAATATCTTTGAAGTCTACAGCATACGCATAAGCACACATCAAACTAATCTGGTCTCCTTCGTTGAGGGTTATGAATCTGTCTGATGGTATGTCTTGAGCTATGGATTGACCCACTTTCTTCACGTGGCAGGGATTTTTGTGTAACTGAAAGTGGAAGTTATCCCATTTATTGAAAAATCGTTTTCCAAAAATCAAAAAATCTTCATTGATAAGAAAGCTGGCGGAACAGTATATTAAGAACTTTGCCTGATGTCCATGAAAATATTAAATGTTAAATACAAAGAATAACTTATAAATAACTAACCAGCTTTATTGAAAGTTCTCTGTCTTGGATACGGAGGCCAAGGTGAGTTCGTGATATTTTTCTGTCACTTATCTGAAAACATATGATTGTTATTGCTAATGTGGTACCAACCAGTACCAGAAAACTTGCAGATATAAGGGCTACTCAATAATAGCAAAGAGCGTTCAACACAGAGAAAATAATTGGTTGGTAAATTCTGAGAATCAATACCCCAAGAATGGCTCTTCCGATTTTGACCTCCCCTTGATCAGGCAAAAGAATATCCCCGAACATGTCATCAGAGTTGAGTGGACACAAGCACCACTGCTTCTTAGGGATGGGTTGTTGATTGTCATTGGGTACCTCCACCGTTGTCATCTATAGAACAAGTTTCAAATGAGTAGCAGATTCGAATATAGCACAATATTAATCTTTGATCGAATTTGATTATAAAATAATCACTTCAGTACAGTATCATACAATGGTATACGGTGGACTAAAAGTTTACAGACTTTACTGAAGGGTGCCATAGGTTACAAAATCATAAATCTTTGGCACTTAGCAGGATCCCTCCTCATTTTACCCTCAATCACATACCCGATCATTCAGCTGACCGCTGACTCGACCGAGGAGATGCAGCCATTATCCAGCCATTGCCCAGATTTGTAATTTCGCAAAAATCCAATACATCCTTAGTTACTTATACTTCCTAGACTAGGTAACAAGTGGAAAGTCTACCTATAAAACAGGTTAGCAACTTCATTCATTGGAGTGCTAGATCATTGTATCAGTGCATACGGAACTATTGATCAAAACTTTATTCTCTAAGTGTTCATAACATAACATAACATAACATAACATAGCATCACAAAGCCTCCGATGCATTTTAAAAGCTCAGTAACATTTGGTACAAACAACAACATTAAGAAGCCAACCAATATCAGGATCTACAAAGCGGCTGTGTCAAATATACTTCTTTGTGAAAGATAAGTATAGGATACTAACAAGGCGCAGGTAAGAGATACCCCAGACGAATCCTGAATATTTAATAGATCTTGATTATGTGATGAGGATACCAGAACAAAAGAAAAACATTTAACTATCTTTACCATCTCAGAGCGTGGAAAAACGTTCAAAATCCGCGGCCTCGTTATCAAATGTTTTTAAGGAATAGCTCTTTTCGCAAATGTCGACAATATCACGTGTTAAAATTATCACGTGACTTTGGTTTTAGTGGGAGTGATCAAATGGACACTGCGAACGAAAAGCTACAGACTAGACAGGGTAATATAAAATATAATATATATTGTGACTTTTTGATAACAAATGAAATGTAAGTACACTCAGTTTGCTTTATAAATATTTTTAACGGGTGATACACGTAAAATATTTGTTCCATATATTAGGACCGTCGACGAGTCCAACTCGTCGCACGTTTTGGTAGGTTGTAAACCTACAAAAATATTTCCTTTAATATAAAGACGAAGCCTTCAAATGAAAAAATAAAAAAGGCAGGGCTTCAAAATTGGCAATTTTAAAAAGCCATCATTCTATCAGGTCTTATTTCAAAATATTAAATAAATAGGATATAATAAACTAAATTTCACATACCAACCTTACTTTACCAAAAACTTTTATGGATGTTACTCGTCTAAATTTCTTTGACAGATGTTACTCGTCTAAATTTTTTCGAAGTAGCGCGCGCCGCTTTCTTCTCGAAATGTTATGGCCGACAGCAAGTGCTACGAAGTAGCGCGCGCCGGGCAAAACCATAAACAATGGTCAACCAAAAATTTTAAAACTGGTTGCAATGATTTACATACGGCTGGAGAAGCTTTCGTGTTTCAAAATGGTCAAAATTAAAGACGCTGAAGCCTTCGCCAAAATTAACCCTATTTTTTAAACAAACTAAGTATAAGTGTAAATTTGTTGACATATACGTTGCATGCCGCTTCACGCTTTTCGCGGAAAAAATATATATATCATATACATCTCTAATATTTGAGATATGTAACATGTATCAACAAATTTGTTGTCTCACGTCGCGTTGTGAAAACCCGCGCGCCGCGCACGAGTGGGCGGCTGTATCGTGGTAATACCACTAAGTGAAACAAAAATTAGGGTCACGACTTATTACTGGGTGGCGCTCAGTTACTGGGCGGCGCTCAGCCCGGATTTTTATGAACATAATCGCCTGGGGTCCCCAGGTAAGGCGCTCAGTAGCTGTCATTTGCATACCGCCAGATCTCTATCATGTCAATCATCAATGAACATAGTAACTTGGGGTTTTGCCCTTTACTAACCAGAGCCCTCTCGCTTGTTAATACGGGTGATACTCTTAAAATATCTGTTCCATATATTGGACCGTCCAACTCGGCGCGCGCCCTGGTAGGTTGTAAACCTACAATCTCGCTTGCAGAGAGGGCTCTGGTGAAACAATGCAATTAGCGTGTCACGCAGTACGTACTGCGTACGTACGCGTATACACATGTGAACCTTGGGTCCGGTATCATTCGTTAAGGGTTTCCAAGTAAGTCACGACGTAATACAATAAACTTGTACGTTTATAACCTATACCATGAAGACTTTACGGATGTTACTCGTCGAAATTTCTTCGAAGTAGTGCGCGCCGCTTTCTTCTCGAGGCAATTTGAATTAGTGCTACGAAGTAGCGTGCACTTGTCATACGTTGTATGACCCGCCGCGCACGAAGTGCGCAGCTCCCCCTGTAGCGTCGAAGCGACCGTGGGGGTCACCACGTGATACAAGCGTGCACCGGGCTAGCCCATTAACAATGGACAATACCAAAACGCAGTACGCCGAGTTTGTAGCGCGATGCACCACTGGGCCGCCCTTCAAATAATATAGCAACGTTTCACTTACTGGGCGGCGCTCAGCCTGTCATTCCGCCGAATCTTTATTGTTTATGTTCATGAACATAATAGCCTGGGGTCGCTTGTCATACGTTGTATGACCCGCCGCGCACGAAGTGCGCGGCTCCCCCTGTAGCGTCGAAGTGTGAAGCGACCGTGGGGGTCACCACGTGATACAAGGGGTCCCCAGGTAAGGTTTCACTTACCTTGCTGGCTTGTTGCTAGTCTATTGCTCGATTCTCTCACTGATATAAGTATATGGTATTACAGTCGTTGGTCACGTGTAGAGATTTGGTAAATATTTCGGGCATGTGCACAAGCAACGCCAACAAGGTTTTATTTGTGATTTGTAGTGAAGTGGATTAGCAATTGAACCACGAGCGCGTTGAATGGCGGAGGTCTGTGAGTTTAACAGACCTTTTGTTTATATTACATCTATGACCCGAGCACTCGATCCTGACTTTGAGGGAAGAAATAAAACACAACATATTGTTATAAAGGAAGCACTGGTCATTGATAAACTCGGTAAAAACACATCAAAACTATGAAAAACCATTATTACACGGGGACACTGTTGAGACTGAAATAACCACATAATTTGAACATAATCATATTACCGGGATTAACTTTCAGTTAAAAGCCAAGAACCACAACTTGCTAAGTTGTGCCACAACTTACTTAGCAGGTATGAACCAGTGATCAAAGTGAACAGCTGTGTCACTCGAAGGGTTGCAAAAGTTTTAACGTAATGCAACTCTATGAATAACCGTTAATTTTAAAAAGGACACTGTTGAAGGCCTTGTAGCAACTGACCGCTAGAAACTGAGCAACTCTTAGACCGACTTCAGGGGCCGAAAATGTTTCAAATTGTAATAAATATAACTTTTAATCCATCGCGCCACAGCCCCACAAAATTAGACAAACCCATTCTGTTCCTCATATAAAAACCAGTGCTGACAGCAGTGGTATCAAATTAGCAAATAAAGCTGTGCTTTAAAGACAATAACTTAGAGTGCCCGTTTGCTGTAAAACTGACGGGGCATTGCTTCATCTCGGGACAGTTTCCTCGGTTTGAGGTGGCCTAAAAGCGGTCGCCAGAGTAAAGATGGCGCGGCAGGCGGTAGAGAAGCTGGCGATGTCTTCAGGAGTTGGATCCAACAATCCATTGTTTAAGTGATCTAACACGTACTCAGCGCCCTGAAAATAGTTTTGATTTATCATAGCAGTTGGTCAAATAAATTTTGCTGCACATGCCCTGATAAGATAAACTGGAAAACTCCTCGTTACTAAAATCTCCTGCAACTGATTGTATCATATATTAAAGTCACTATTGTGACGGTACATTAGAACTAGCTGACCTCGAGGGTGGCTCCTTCAAGAGGGAAGTCTAGGACGGACTGAAGCTGATCTGCTGACGCCTCGGGGGACAGATGGGCGTGGGCACATCTCACTGTACAAATGGTTAGTTATTATTCAGTATAAAAACTCAGATAATAAGCTATAAACTGTATTTAAAACTAGAAGTGTTTTCTTACAGTTCGATTCAAGAAACTTAACGAATGATGAACAAAATAAAAGAAGATACTGACACATGAAGAAGCTCTTGAGATTGGTGCCAGTAAGAGATTCCCTAACATTTAACCACTCTCTAATGTCGTTCTGTGGCAACAGTTCCGACATCTCTGTCTGAACTATTTCAGATATAATTCCACTTGTCGGTCCCGTCGTTTTGACTGAAATGAAAGAGATTTGGATTTTGGAATTAGACAGTTAAGTATATATCATACAGAACTATCCGATGGTACATGAATAAACATTAAGAAAATTTTATTATTGGAAACAAGTCTTTATCACCTTTATCACCCATACTCGTAAAATATCTTAGTTTCATGACAGTAGAGAAGTAAGAACTAACCATATTGAGCGAGTTGTGTCATGTGCAGACCAATCTCGGGGGCTCTAGCACAAGTTTTCAGGGCACGTTTCACACTCTGTATCATCAACAACAGCTTCCCTGAAATTGTTAATTTATTTTAATAGAGCAGAGGGAACGGTTAAAACAAATTAAGTTGATACTCGCTTCATCTCTCCCTTATCCATCTATACTATTACTATTATGTCGGTCAGCAACATTAAAAATTATTGATTTAGTTCCTTCCATTAATTTAAATTCAATCGTCTGTACTGCGCATTCATAGTGTTTTCGATTAAGGCGAACGTTATTTTACGGAAAATATGAGACAGTAAAACAAATTCTACTCGTATTCTAACAATTGATCATCTAGAAACACATTAATATTATGTTAAAAGGAATTTAAAGAAATTTAATAAGTGTCACGATGCCATAATATTTGGATATGGTTAAAATCTCCTAGTTGACTAAGCATGCTTTTAATTGTATCATATATTCGACAACGTTCTTCACCGCAAATGCAAGAAAGTAGTGTGACAGAATAAAAGACTCTTGCTCTTGAAATACAAAAGTAAAGCATACTTAATGGTAAAAGTATGTCGTGGCAAGACAGTCGAATCACTGCCATAATTGCTGGCCACTCAGCAGAAGAAACAGTCCTTTGAAAACACCATTTGTAGCTCGGATTCTCCTCATGCAGCAATTCGAGAGGATACGGCAATTTTTCGGGATCCTTTAACTTATCGAAATAATATGCTACACTATATTCACATATTATCATAGGTCGAATACCCATTTCACGGTTTAATCTATTAACTTCTGCATTTAAAACCCGTGCAAGTACAACTTCATTAAGCGGTTCTTCGAATATATGAAGTATAGGTTTTGGACCATATATATAATGACCCTCTTTTTGGTCCATGCCGGACAATAGTTTGGCAAATACACTCAGACCATCTATTGTGACCCTTGGTCCCCTTTTATCATGAAAACGTTTATTACCATCAGATATAGCTTTAGATAACAATTCTTTTAGAGAATAATCCCTAATAACGGATAAACTATGTGATATATCGTACGCATTTCTCAGATTGGCATCGATAGTACTAACACAACCATGATCAGATAGTAGTTTGTAAAATGCAAGTAGGGAAGAAGATACACCATTCATATAGTTTTTCTTACTAAGAGAAAACATTTGTATAATATCACACGACAACCAAACGTGATGAGAGTTTGTTAACTGTGACATAGAGGTCATCATATCGCTGAAGTCTTCTATCCAAGTTTGTGCCTCGCGCTCGCGATTATCATTCGGGAAATATGTTCTTGTGCCCATTTCCACAAGAACACATTGAAAATCGTCAATGAAAATATCGCATCCCTGCAGCTGCGGTGATCGAAGCATTTCTATGAAAAATTCGCTTAAATAGCCGAACATGGGGTCGCGTTTAGATTCCCCATTCACTATGACTAACTGGTTGTCAACTAAAGCTTGAGTTATCATGTCAAGGTCCTCTGTAAAAGGAAAGGTTTCTGAAAGAAATAATACCCTATACGACACTCCAGCATTATCTAAAGGGGTCTCGTAGAGTTTCGGCTTTTGTTCCTCATCAGGATGGGAAGTTTCAAACAGGAAACTAAAAAGTAAGACTTTGCTGCTGTTTCCAGATTTTATCAGCTCTATAATTTTGGCAATCAGTAGGATACTTTTGCCCGACCCGGCAGGTCCATCGATCCACATAAAGTTTTTGTTTGATGTAAAAACATCATGTTGCTTTTTAGTGAGATTCTCTATTCCCAAACAGTCCCTCGTGATGTCGGATGCCGGTACAACATAGGGATTATTGCTTCTGAACGTAAACTTTCCGCACCGTACTTTGTCATCGATATCCTTGATACATTTCCAAAGCTACACGTCTCCTTATCACAATCATCTTTATCAGTACACCAAATGGCAAGCAACATGTTTCTGATTTCGTAATACTTTTGAAGATTCATTTTATTCCTGTTTCCAACACAATGACTTTCAATAACATAAAACTCCCACCATCTACCAATGTCACATAAAATATCTTTGAACAAGATTGTGTCTTTCTCATGGCATTCCAGATGGAATTGGTCTTTGTATTTACTGCTAAAATTAGGATAAGCGGTAAACTGACAAATTCTCACATTGCTGTCCATACTTTTGATAAGCTGTGCTATCTTTTCTCTTTGTTTGACCGATTTTCTGAATGTCCCAAGGAGAGCTTGTGAATGTTCATCACTTTGGATTCCAGATTCATTTGGAGTCATGTTCTTAACTTCAATCACAACAAAATAGTCCGGACCGATAATCAAAAAATCGCACTCTCCGTCATTATTCCCTGCGTTCTTTCCTTTACATTTTTGGCACCCCTTTCTATCATGACTTTTATCGCACAAACGATATTGGTGATGCGTAAACTTAAAGTTGTGCAAAACAATAAATTTTCCATGACGTGTATATATATTCTCCAATGTTCGGTATACTTGAACCTCGGCCTCGTAGTTAGCCTGCTGGACTATATCGTCTTTAAAACTAGGTCCTGGTTGGTTTTCATCAGGGTACACATCAATATACCTCTGTTGTGGTGCCGGTGGTAACATTATGGGGCGGTAATCTGGTGATGAGCAGTATGTATTGAAGATATCTTCACCATTATGTAAATATTTCTGGTATTGATCCATTGTGGAGGCGAACAATGATAATTCTGGAACGGTTTGCGTTAGGATAAAGGAGAGTTTCTTTTAAAAACTTTGTTTAGCGAAAAAAAGCGAGAGGACACTTTTTATTAGGAGAAGAATATTAGAACAATCAGAAAACGTACTTTCAAAGAAAAAAAGACAAAAACTGATTTTCACTGAATGATTGATTGTAAACCGGGACGGTGCCAGGGTGGTTTAAACGACCGTTTTGAATAATGACAAATAAACTGAAAAACGAATAAAAACAATCCCTCATAACTCATGAGGCACTGCACTCTTAATAGAATTAGAAACATGCCACACTGTGTAGATCAGCATTTTACAACAAAGAAACCGTCACCTGTCAAATTTTAGTTTCAAGAACTCAACACCTCCATGCTACTAGAGTGCTAGGTAATTTTGTTTGGCTTCACGACATAGTTTTTTGCTAATGTCTTGAACATTTAAGGGTTTGGGACCTTGAAACCTTGATTCGTCTCATTAATGTGCTCATTCCGGTCATTTTGAAGGGTTAATTGATATCAATTGATCAATTAGAAGCCGAGTTCGATATATTTTAAGTGCGTGTCAATACTGAAACGTTTAACTTTCGGCTCTAGCTTTTAATCCATATTCGGTAAATAACAACGGATATCAGTAACTGGTAGTCGATACTACAGTCATTAATAAAGTGGTATTGAATAAACGAGTTGGTAGAGTCGGTACTCAATGTGACGCACTAGACAAGCTAGAAGAGGGACTATCTGTTATCTTAATAAATTGAGCTACATTTACCTTTGTATAAATACTAAATAGTGTACCTAAAGCATGATGCAAATCTTAACAATCAGAAGATCGTGTTACTAATTACATTTGTTATTTCTCCAGTGTTACAGAAATATCGTTTGCACTATCATGGTCAAAATTTACAAAAACAATTACTGGCCATGCAGGGGGTCGAACCCTGGACATTCGCGTTATTAGCACGACGCTCTAACCAACTGAGCTACACGGCCATGTCTTCAGGAAATTGTTTATCATATGAATTTTATCCAATTATCTCCGTTTGGTGATTTTAAAGCTTCACACTTTTGCACCAGTCTACATTTATGTTTTACTGAGTAAAACAGAAATTCAATCACTTTATCTGATTTAAAGATTTAAAGTGACTCCGCAATCAGTATAATGAGCTTAAAATCGTTATTTGCCATGTTCAGACTAAAATTTCCAGCCTGACAATTTGAATCTCATTACCGTAATCAATAAACAGAGTGAATAAAATTAAATATTCGTGCTATAAAATTTCATAATAAGGAGGTGTGTGAAGCTTCAAACTTCCGAAGAGAGATAATGGAATAAAATTGATACGACAAACAATTTCATGAGGACATGGCCGTGTAGCTCAGTTGGTTAGAGCGTCGTGCTAATAACGCGAATGTCCAGGGTTCGACCCCCTGCATGGCCAGTAAATGTTTTTGTAAATTTTGATCATGATAGAGCAAACGATATTTCTGAAACACTATGCAATGTAACACCAGAGTATTTTATAGAAATAAAAAATGTAATTAGTAACATGATCTTCTGATTGTTAAGATTTCAGATTTGCATAATGCTTTAGGTACACTATATAGTATTTATGCAAAGGAAAATGTAGGAAAGGATAATGTAATATTTAATAAAGGGCCATGTAGCTAAATTTATTAAGATAACAGACAGTCCCTCTCCATTATTAAAAACTCTAGTAGCTGTCTAGTGCGTATTATTAAGTGCCACCAACTTGTTGAAACCTTCATATTATGTAAGTCGGAAATAGAAACTATAATTTTCTTACAAGACATGGCCGTGTAGCTCAGTTGGTTAGAGCGTCGTGCTAATAACGCGAATGTCCAGGGTTCGACCCCCTGCATGGCCAGTAGTTGTTTTTACTTCTTGAGCATCATCAATGGTCTAAACTAAACCTTTTTAACCGCAAGTGTAATACAGTTCTATGTATAGGAACATGCAACACTGAATAGTTAATGTTATGAGTTCAAACAATGCGCCTACAGCCAGTGTTTATGTACACCAGTGTTCTGAACAAATGTGCAAATTGTGTGATTTCTTGTAGTCAACAAGTTTGAACAGAGAAATAATAATACAGTCCTTTCACATGGCCGTGTAGCTCAGCTGGTTAGAGCGTCGTGCTAATAACGCGAATGTCCAGGGTTCGATCCCCTGCATGGCCAGAAGGTTTTTGTTCGGCTGATAAGACTTTCATCGAGTCTAACCATGTACAATTCCATTAAATTCCCCCAAATATAGGCTCTAATGGCCGGCTCTAATCTAACTAGTTCTGCAAAAACAGTATTCCGGCTCTTACCTTGACGGTAGAAGACTTGGAATGCAAGTTTGTGAGTGTTGGGACACCGAGGAGACAGGGCTCTTAGTGGATCCAGAAACTTCATAGCATCGTCCAGGGGAGAATCAGACTGAAAAGGTTTAACTGAGCCACGAGTGACAACTGGCAAAGAAAACCCATTCAAGAGAAAAAATAAGTGCAAATAAGTGGGAAAAAAGTGAAACTTTACCAAAAAACTTCACTTAAAGTGAAATTACCCACCTTGACCAGCTCAATTCCCACAATTGGAGGAGGAACGATCTCTCCGTCCGGCTGCTTGTTCTTGTCCTTGGCGTTGTTGTTCACGTTAGCTTCATTCTTCTGCTGCTGCTTCTTCTTAGCGGCTCGCTTCTTCTTGCTCTCCAGTTTCTTCTTCTCCTTTTCCGTCATCTCATCTGAGGGTTATATTTAATTAAATTTGTTGATCTTCATTCTTCAGATGTGATCATTCCAGGGTGCGATGAAAATAAAAGTTTTGAACGATACCCAAAATATAAAGAGATCGGTTCTGAAGCAAAGTGTCACTTGAAGAGCGGTTGATAAACTATAGAATGAGTATAATTATTAACCTGCTTCTCCATTTCCCAACCCGTTAGCATCAGCCAAAGGTTTGTCGTGTAGATGAAGATACGTTCTAATGGCGTAGTCAGCTGCTTTGTTGAAAAACTGGTGACCTGAAACATGAGCCATGAACTATAATGATCCAGAATAAATTAAGACATTTAAAAGCTTACTTCAACATTGAACATTACATAATATGTATAGTGGAAAAGCTAATACTATTAATTGGTGACAATTAAAGAATAATTTGCCCTGAATTTGTTGCTATTTAGTATTTAATCTCTGTACCTCTTATGGAATCCTCTAGTCGTAACAACCCGATGTAAGCTCTAAGAGTCATCTTCCTCATGGAGTAGGGATGGAAATCAAACTGATCCTCTACTATGTCAACAAAATGCTTCTCCACCTGATCAGTAACAGTTGATAAAAGTTGTACTTAAAGTTGTTTAATCGAACAATTTAGAAAGGAGTCAAGGGTTTGGTCGTCATGTTGACTAACATAATGGTTGTTAGCTTATCAAGTGTCACTAAAACAGACTAAGTGACACGTGTGAACACTCTGGTCACGTGTGAACACTCTGGTCACGTGTGAACACTCTGGTCACGTGTGAACACTCTGGTCACGCGTGATCACTCTGGTCACGCGTGATCACTCTGGTCACGTGTGAACACACACGTCACGTGACTAACCTCGTGACACTTCTGAAGCACATTAGCCCAGTCCTGGTTCTTGAAGTACGTCCTAGCTGACTCAGTCAGGAACCACATGCACTGCATCTCGTTCAGGTTATCAACCGCGGGTTGACCTTCCTGGAGGGAAATGTCATGTTAACCGGAGTTATAGATATTGACTAAAACTTGTGGCAAACTGATGCTGAAAGATTTCGAAACCAGACAGATTCAAAAGAATCATACATCATGTTCAAAAGCCCAACTGGAGACAAGGAAAATCCTATAAAGAGGACACAACTTACCCGGGTGAATAGAGCACAAGCCTCCTCAGCCTTGTCTATCATGCCAGCTCTGAGCATGTACTTAGCAGCTTTACAGTTGAGATATCTGTCAGCCAGATCCATGGTCCTGGCTTCTTCTACCCAGTGTACTGCCTCTACCATGTTACCCGCGTGCTGGAGGAGGGAGAGGGGGGTTCAAACATGATATCTAATAGGGGGGGGGGGGGGGGGGGGGGGGGGGGGGGGGTGGGGGTGGGGGTACTGCTTCTACCATGTTACCCGCGTGCTAGAGGAGGGGGAGGGGAGGTTCAAACATGATATCTAATAAAGGGGGGGTGGGGGTGGGGGTACTGCTTCTACCATGTTACCCGCGTGCTGGAGGAGGGGGAGGGGAGGTTCAAACATGATATCTAATAAAGGGGGGGGGGGGGGGTGGAGGGGGGTACTGCTTCTACCATGTTACCCGCGTGCTGGAGGAGGGGGAGGGGAGGTTCAAACATGATATCTAATAAAGGGGGTGGGGGTGGGGGTACTGCTTCTACCATGTTACCCGCGTGCTGGAGGAGGGGGAGGGGAGGTTCAAACATGATATCTAATAAAGGGGGGGGGGGGTGGGGGTGGGGGTACTGCTTCTACCATGTTACCCGCGTGCTGGAGGAGGGGGAGGGGAGGTTCAAACATGATATCTAATAAAGGGGGGGGGGGGGGGTGGGGGTGGGGGTACTGCTTCTACCATGTTACCCGCGTGCTGGAGGAGGGGGAGGGGAGGTTCAAACATGATATCTAATAAAGGGGGGGGGGTGGGGGTGGGGGTACTGCTTCTACCATGTTACCCGCGTGCTGGAGGAGGGGGAGGGGAGGTTCAAACATGATATCTAATAAAGGGGGGGGGGGGTGGGGGTGGGGGTACTGCTTCTACCATGTTACCCGCGTGCTGGAGGAGGGGGAGGGGAGGTTCAAATATGATATCTAATAAAGGGGGGGTGGGGGTACTGCTTCTTAAAACTACTGTACCTTGTACAGGGGGGGGGGGGGGGGCCGGGGGGCTGTCACAATTATTGGTAGTGTAAACAGTGCTGGAAGATAGGCAAAATGGTAAATACGTTTTACGCGATTATACGCGATTACGATAAAAAATAGTTAACCTACTCATACTTCTAGTCATATCCAGATTGAAACTGAAGCCCCCTAAAACCACTGTACCTTGTATATCTTGCTCTTGACCATATAAGGGTCGATGTAGGTAGGAGTGTGTTGCATTGCCCTGTCTATGTAGTACATAGCTTTAGTGGTGTCCCTCTCGTAGTCGTACAGTTGAGCCAGGAATATCATGACGTGTAGATAGGATGTCGGGTACTCCTCATCCTCACTATCTGAATGTTTGGAATATTTGAAATATTTGAAACACTCCTCCACAACCTTATATGGCTGGGTAACCATGGTTACAATACCTCTAGGGACTACGGGTGGAAGATGGATAATTAAAATTCCAACAGCATCTTGTTCTCTTCATTGTGCTGATTCCGGGAAGCATTCTCTTTACGCTCTGATCATACTGTAGAATGAGATATCGTTCAATTAAAATTGGGTAACTATAGGCCTGTCAAGGATTGCAGCCCAATTAAGAGCTGATCAATTGCAGCTACTTGTGCCATGATATATGGGATAACTGAGGTCACGTGACCGCTGATCCTATCACGTGACCTCGATTCGTAAATCCTCGGACACGTGATCACATTCGTAACGTGTCGTACAAGGTTTCGTATGCCGACTAGGATATCTTCATATCTTGTGACGTCACCAGAGCCTCAAGCTACCTGATAAGGCCTTATATGGATTAATATCGCGTGTAATTGTATCCAATTAGAGGAGCTGCGCAATTATCGCATCATCTGGTATCACCTTCTGAAACCCAGCACTGAGTAACATCACCACAATCATTTGTCATCTCACCTGACCTTTAAAACCCAAACGGGGGGTATGCCCCCCCCCCTCTGGCCTTAATGACCATTAATGCCCATTAATGACCATAAATGACCATTAATGACAATGTCAGTTTTGTCAAAATTTCATCTACTGACATTAATGGTCATGTTTTTTCCGGCACTTCTTAGAGCGAAAAGGACGGACGCCTGCATCACTTAGACCCTACCTTAAGTTAACTAACTACAAGTATATGTTATTATTTTACATTTACAATTTTAGAGATTCGAAAGAGAAAACTTAGAATAGAATCTTCCGTGGTTAGGCAGACCTTCCAGAATATCACTTGAGTGGATTCCAGAGTGAGTTAGGGATTACATTTATTAAGTTCGAATGTAACGAAGAACAAATTTTGCGGCCACGGGATTTAAACCAGATAACAGTTGGTGACTTATAGTTATCAATAATAATAATTCAATGGGCAATTTAGGAGTATCAGATCGTATCAATAGTAAAATAACAATCAATAATAAAATAATAATAACACGGGTATTAAAATTAAATACTTCGGTCCCGTTCTTATATCATATCAAGATTTATATTGTAGCCAAATCATTATGCTAGTCGATTATATAGTAATTACACAGTACTTATTCAACTTTAGCACTTCATGAAATACATCGTCATCAGTCTGAATCGGACAACAAAAAAGCTGATCTTTTCCTAGGATTAGATAGAACAATTCGTTTACAGTTCAATACTCTGCCTTTAGCAGTTTAAAGTTTTGACCCAAAATCGAGCATTGTCATCATGATAGGGACAAATTGATGCGGCAGGAATTCGTCTAGATCTGCAGTTGCCCTTTTTTGAAGCAGAGACACTCATTGATAAGATGGTACCGAGGCAACAAAGGGGACGTTTAGCATTTTTTGGAACAAAGGTAGCACTTAATGAGTCGCCCTTTCGAATTGTTCGACGTTGACAGGGCTTAGAATTATTTTTGCAGCCCGGTTGGTATGGCACAGAACCCTCGAAACAGCCGGTACCAAAAAATTTCGATCTCCGACTTTTATTTCCAAATATCGTCTTACGATGGCACAGAAGGTACTGTGAGGAGGTATTGAAAATCCAAATTATCAAAAGCAATCAACACAAATAAAGGAAATCAATAGTAAAATAACAATCAATAATAAAATAATAATAACACGGGTATTAAAATTAAATACTTCGGTCCCGTTCTTATATCATATCAAGATTTATATTGTAGCCAAATCATTATGCTAGTCGATTATATAGTAATTACACAGTACTTATTCAACTTTAGCACTTCATGAAATACATCGTCATCAGTCTGAATCGGACAACAAAAAAGCTGATCTTTTCCTAGGATTAGATAGAACAATTCGTTTACAGTTCAATACTCTGCCTTTAGCAGTTTAAAGTTTTGACCCAAAATCGAGCATTGTCATCATGATAGGGACAAATTGATGCGGCAGGAATTCGTCTAGATCTGCAGTTGCCCTTTTTTGAAGCAGAGACACTCATTGATAAGATGGTACCGAGGCAACAAAGGGGACGTTTAGCATTTTTTGGAACAAAGGTAGCACTTAATGAGTCGCCCTTTCGAATTGTTCGACGTTGACAGGGCTTAGAATTATTTTTGCAGCCCGGTTGGTATGGCACAGAACCCTCGAAACAGCCGGTACCAAAAAATTTCGATCTCCGACTTTTATTTCCAAATATCGTCTTACGATGGCACAGAAGGTACTGTGAGGAGGTATTGAAAATCCAAATTATCAAAAGCAATCAACACAAATAAAGGAAATCAATACAATTCAAATCCACGCAAACTGCAAACAAGCATGTATACTAAGTCAACTGCAAACAAGCATTTATACTAAGTCAACTGTAAACAAGCATTTATACTAAGTCAACTGCAAACAAGCATTTATACTAAGGCAAATGGGGGCAAATGCAAACAAGCAAACAGACAAGACAACTTACCAACGTATAACAGAATGGTGCTTGGCACTCATTCCGAAACCGAGGTCCGAGCCTCTATTAAGCGAATATTAATTCGTTTTCTCAAACGAGACTCTGCAATCGATGCAGGGGGCTGTGAGAAACTTGATAGAAGTGATACAAGGTGATCATAATTGTAAATTTCTTGGACATGTTGCTTCCAAGATAGTTCAGAATTTCAATTATTTAATGACCATTAATGACCATTAATGACCATTAATAACCATTAATGACCATTAATGACAATGTCAGTTTTGACAAAATTCCATCTACTGACATTAATGGTCGTTGCATTACCCCCACCCAAACGATATGTGACTAACACTCACACAGAATATTAGATAACACACATTATGTTCCTTCTTCAGAATATTCTCTACTTCGTGAGGTCACCGTTTTCTTGCGTTCCTGAGTTTACTAATACTTCTCTTGTGCTTTTTATAATCCAGTTACTAGACTATTACCATTTACTGTTCATTATAAATTCGCAATCTTCATCTCCTATAGTTTTCAAGTCATTCCTATTGTTTCGATTTTGGTATAAGATTAGAATTCAAAAGGGGGGCTTAACGTGCCAGCGCCACACTCTGATAAAATAAGAGTAGGTTACATTCTATGAGATCATCGCACAGGGTCGCACATAACTTTGAGTTTGTTTATCTTCGAACAGATCTTTGTTTCTCTTCGCGTTGATCTTACAATTTGTGCTGTTACCTGTTGATACTTAATTCTAGGCTCTTGTCTCGCTTCAAGACGTAATACTGTTCCAGGTAAAAGTTTCTGAACGATTTTTTCCAACTTTAATATCTGTGAAATTGAACTGCAATTAAATAATACAGTATCTCCAACAAGCCTTCTCTATTACATACCGCACGAATGTTCTATATCGTTGGTACGTTGGTATTACCAGGGTATATTGTATATATGCTAGAGTGAACACGATAAAGCCAACTTAAACATGACATTACATTTTCTTTTAGATCAACATTAAAATGAACGAAGAAACAATAGTCATCAAGTTGAAGGACGGAGACCCGCTGAATGTCTGCAAACAGAGATTAACGGAAGACAGCCGAATGTTCCGCTACCTGATAGAGGAACTAAATTACGATGAGCTAGACCTGGAAGACTTCAGCTCTGTGAGTGTAACATTATTTGTTACATTATTGGACGATAAGAGTGTGGGAGATTTGGAGACAGCTCAGTTTAGGGAGCAACACAAGTTAGGTCACGTGTTCGAGGTGGTGTGGCTGGTGAAGGAACTTAAGGAATGGCTGGAATGCAGGATGGACAAAGCTGTGACGGATGAGGAGAAGTTGTTTGCTTTTGAGGAGTCCCTCTATATAAGGAACAAGTGGGAGAAGCATGAATTAATGAACGGTTTTATGTGCAGGTTTTCTGGTAGGGACAACAATTCATTCGTGTTGCAGTACATGACAGAGTTGGGTAAATTAGACGTTGTTCAGATTGATCTCATGTTGATTCTTGGAGGATGTAATACTGAACTTTTCCTTCGAATAATTTTAATGAACTTGAAAAACAATAAAATCTTGGATAAAAACAGTAAGTATCTCCTAAGCCGAATGGATCTCACACTTTGCTGGGAGCAAAATAAAGATCAGTTTTTAGAGATGTGTGAGAAGATACAAGATTTGTTGAATATTTCAACAGAGGATATGAAATATGCGTTTAAACTGACTACAGAGGTAATGAAATCAGCTAGTTCCCGTAGCACGAACACAAAGGAACGGACTAGGACTACAGAGGTGTACAACATTGATAAAGACATTAAGTATAAGGCGTCGAGCTGTTGCCAAACAATCAACGGTTTGACAAATGCGATTGTAGGGAACAGAATCACCTCCATGTTTAAAGTTGTTGAAATGCTGCTTATAGTTTTCTACAATAATCCTCCAACCACGGAAGAAACAGAGACATTTATTAAAATCTTGGAAACAAGCTGCAGAGACAAACACCTCCAAAAGGTCTCGAAGCAATTTCTGAAAATTATGATCAATGCCTTAAACTACTCTCCTTCATCGCAGAGAGTTGAGCTTATCTCAGTGTTGAATGAAATAACCAATAACAACCAGCTTTCTAGTTATCATGAGAATGTTACCCTAAATCAGGATAAGTTGATAGCCGTTTCACCAGGTATTGGACAAAGAGTACTCAGTTCATTGAAACATTTGTTGAACAGGGATGAAAGTTTACCATCAGGCACTATTTACAAAGATCACTTTTCTTTTGAACACCCGGCAATTATATCACAGTGTACAGAGCCTGGTAATTGCGGATTCATCTTGAAGAATAGTAAACACAGAATACAAGGCATCGGCAATATGGACTATGTAAGTGTACTGTGCTCAGACAGCAGCGACTATAATGGAACAGGACTACATGTGCATGATGTGATCTCTGCTAGTGACATGTACCTTTATTTTACACGGTCAGGTAACACAGCATCTGGTAACAAGGTTCAAGTAACAGGAAAGAAAGGGTTGATTACGTGGCGGAAGAAGTGGTTTCCAGATATTACTGACTGGGAGTTTGAGCAGGCCCCTGTAGCGTATAACGTATCTGATTACGTTTTCGCTAAACAGGACTAATCATACACTACGCAAGACTGTCACATGATTTGTTTTAAGTGTTTTATTTTATATTTTGGTTTTTGTTTTAAATCATGACGTCATTACAAAGAATGTTAACATGTTTAATACGTATTCTATTGTTATACTGCTTTATAAATTCTGTGTACTAAATCAGTTGATTTAACATCTTACTTTACAACAAAGTGACTTAGTAACCGACTTAGTAACCGACTTAGTAACCGAGGAATTAAATAACCACTCATCTTAGTTATTAAATAGATATAATCATGATATTCCCTTGTATTGGTAATATAGATTGACTAGAATCAAACAAGAAAGCATTCCATGATGACCAGGTCCGATAACTTCCCTCTATGATATCATATTGTCAACAATATAATATGTGGGTTCTGGTGGTGAAGTATATTTAGTTGAAAGGTAACATTAATATTTAATTCTGGTGTTTGATTGGCCAATAGTCGAAGCTGATTGGTCTTCTTCTTCTTCGTAGGGGGCTGTGGTCAATATCACTAATGGAAAGATCGTGACCACTGTAAGATAGAGCATTGGAGCCCTGTGCTTACCCCGGTAAAATTAATAAATCAAGAAAAAAATGTTAAGATTTTGTTTTCTTTGCATTTAGTAAATCGTTTTGTTGCTTGTATGAAGCCGATGATCATTGGTAGTGAGAATTTGTCCACTATGTTTGTCACGCTAAGATAAAAGGAGTCAAAGTATCATCCTCGTTGGTAAGACCATTTCGGGCACTTGCCAATAAAGTGGTTCATTGTCTCCTCCTCCATGAGACAGTGTGGACAAATTTTGGGGACCGTTGTCGGCTTGAACTCATTAATGTGGTAGTTTAGTGCACAATGTCCAGTAAGGAATTGTGTTGCTGTTCTTATGCTCTCATTGCCAAGTTTCGGGATTGATCTGGCGAACTTATGTCTCCATACTCGTTTGAAGTGAGTGTTCAATACCTCATATGGAAGTACTCATCATCCTCACTTTTTGAAATACATTAAGTATTACTCTCTGAAATGTTTGTAATTTATACTATTCACCATGAAACAACATGATTTTTGTAGGTACTGCATTTGTGTGACTAGCATGATCCCTTACACTCTGCTCTACAGCTGGATAATGGTGCAGAACCAGGTGGATGGGTATGTAGTGTCCATTTCAAAGAACAGTCACGTGACAGCATATAAAGTCACGTGACAGTATATAGTATATGTACAGCTAATCATATTCTTCAAAATCGACGAGCACCAAAACTCTACATTGTTCGTTATTTGCTACCGAATCTCTACAGTCAACAATCCTTCTGTGATATAAACGTAGGACCATGTTCAGCAACAAGTAGTGTTACTAGGGTAACAAGTAGTGTTACTAGGGTAACCACGTGACCATGTTAAACAACAAATACCTCCTCTGGAGTGGAGTGATCTGCGTCCTAGCCACAATGTTGTTCCTACAACCCTATAGACTCCCTCCTGTGTCCCTGCCTGATCCTGCTAACATCACCAACATTCCACACATAGTTCACTTGAAAGAGGACACGGTTGATCACATCCTGGGTGTGATCGGAGGGGAGTCTTTGGTGGAGCACCAGGGAGATCTTGTAACGGGGTCGCTGGACGGTTATCTTGTTGGTGTAGATCCGGACACTTTGAACATCAAGTGGAAGGTGAAATGCCCAACTTCAAGTTCTGGAAGCGGATGTAGAGTTCTGGGTTTAAGATCGGTGGGCCGTGCCCTTTTTGGTGTGGACGTTAACGGACGTTTGTTCAAATATCAGTCGGAGAAATTTGAATGGCTTATCGATAATAATACTTCAGGGATAGCAGCATTAACCCCAGGATTCTTCAATGATTTGGTAGTGTACCAAGATATGATCTACTTGACGGACTCGTATTCTTCAAAGGAAGACAGACACCAGACTATGTTGCAGAGATTCTTTAGTTTACAAGCAGAAGGGAAGATCATATCGTATAACATTACATCTAGAGAGGTGTCCGTACTGGCCGATAAACTCTATGTTCCTAATGGGATAGAGCTTCATCGAAATAACAGGTTAACAGAATTTTATTGAAATTTCCAAACAAACCAAGAAAATATACTGTGCTGGAAATGACAATACAAAATCCTTCTTATGAATTATTTAATCCTAATTTCCCCAGGACTCTGCTAGTATCAGAGGGAAGCATGTACCGTATCTTGGAAATAGAAATTAAGTCGGGGGATATTGTGAGGGTATTCAGTGAGGGTGGAACTCTTGGAGCAGTGGATAACATCAGGAGAGCTGCTGATGGAGGTAAGCTTCAACTATGATGTTAAGTGCAAAGTGCTAAATTGAGCTGTCAATTGACATCTTTAGCAGTCAACTTATCTTGCTTTTAAAATGTTTCAATTGTCTAAACCCTGTGTTTTCTGCCCTCTCAGGCTCTCAAACTAACCTCCCTCACACTAACAACTAACATCCCCCTAGGCCCTTCTAACAACTAACCTCCCTCCTACTAACAACTAACATCCCCCCTACTAACAACTAAACTCCCTCTCACTAACAACTAACCTCCCCCAATTAAAAAACTAACCTCCCTTCAGGCTACTGGATAGGAGTGTCAGTAGGTAGAACAACAAAACACCACCTCTCAGATACCCTCTCTTCCTACCCCATACTTCGTCACCACCTAACCCACCACCACCTACTCTCACCCCTCATCTCATTTTCTGCTAAGATCCTGGCGGAGGAACCACGGTTCTATAGAGTGGATGAGGGGGGTGAGATTGTCTGCTTGGTGATGGGTGATAGGACTGTTACTGATACCATTACCTTTAGTGAGGTGCTGGAGTTTGGAGAGTATTTGTTCGTTGGGACACCCTTTTCTAAGAGCCTTTTTAGGATTAAATATTTGTAGTTTGTTTGAATTTGAGAATGCTACTCTGATTTTAATTCAAACTGAATAGAATGAAATATTATAAATTCGTACTAATTCAGTATAGGGTAGTAAATACGGTAGTTTCGTACTTCTAAGGAGATCTGCAAGATCTGCAACATTCATTCAGCAGCTATTTTTGGACAAATTGGAATGATTCGGTATTTTCTGTGTTAGATTGAGCGAGTACCAGTAGTTGGTCGCAGCTCAGCAAGTGCCTGCAGATTGTGCTTTCATTATTGGTAGATTATGATAACAATGGAATATCGTACGGGGCTGGGATTCGATGATTGTAGAAGATTGCGAAAAATCAAATAACACAATCCCAGTACTCCCTGAATATCAAATATTTATTTCGCAAATTTTTTCGCTGTCCTTGTGTTCTTTTTCACGTTCATACTATTCCAGATGGAAATAAATACGCAAACACTTTCTTAATGTCAATAATGTCATTCCATAACTCATTTAAGTTGCTGGATGTTAGTTAATTTAAGTTTTAGTGATTAATTTAAAAAATAAGTTATGATTTAAAATTGTTTAGTTGACACTTAAATAAATAAAAAATGTCTTCCTCTAAATATTTAACTGATACTTCTATCGTTTTGTAATTTGAATTCAATTCGGTAATTTAATAATTTAAAATTCTTTATTAACACCCTCTCGAGGATTATATGGCACGACTCAAGTGGTCAGTGGATAAAGGCAGAACTTATGTAGCCGACCTTTCCTGAGGTAAGAGAGGCCAATTAATAGGTCAAATATAAACTAAATGTAATAGATGAGATACGATCCATAACTGGTGACATGAGTCATCAAATATTTTCTTTGTTTGATATTTTATGTTACTCTGGAGAACATGTTGTACTTAAATAACTAATTTATTGTAAACCTTCTACGATTAAAAAAGTAATTATCAGGTAGCAAAAACTCGATTACAGAAACCTTTACAATAATTCCATTTTCTCACAGATTTAAAAAAAAATTAATGGAGAGAAGCTTGGCATGATACAGATTACAAAAAGTTCAGCAATTAGAATACACAAGTACAACAAGTGTTTGACGATTACAACATTGCAACATACGCTTGAGGAACTATGCTGGATGATGGAAATTGCTTTTTTCAATACGATTATGCTAAATTCGTTATACGACGTCAAAAACATTTAAAAGTGTTGCGTTCATTTAAGGTTTTCTCTATTCCTTTCTGGGCGACTTATCAGATCTTCAAGATGTTCTTTAAAGTTATATTTCTGGTTTGAAAAAAAATCTAATGTTATAATAAATAACAGTTCAAGTTACCTGGACTGAATTTCTTGTGTTCTTCTAAGGATGTGAAGTAACCATGCATTAACTCTTTGATTGTTTCTAACTGAAACAGAGATTATTATTAGCACCATTCAAAAGAAGATATAATTCTTCAGAAACAAAACAAAATAATAGTGATACGAGTGGGAGCATAGCTACGTATAGTGTCGCGAAATTTTAAATCCGAGGGTCTTTTCGTAACATAGCTGTTGCTTGCATCAATTGTTGTTGGTACTTTTTCCTAAAGGTATTTATAGAAAGTGAAACAAAAACTGAATCCAGGGCCTTGGAAAATCTTTGGCAGAGGGGGGGGGGGGGGGGGGGAGGCACAAATCTCACCTTATTCTTATCTTGGAACAGATGTTTGAGAATGTTGAAGAGAGGCGGGACTCCTTTTCTCAACTGTCTTTGCAAATATCCGTCAACCAGTGTCCTGAATGTGCTCCCTGAAATACCAGGTCAGCAGTTTGATGAGATATTTAATATCAAATAGCATTAACACAATTCATTTCCAGATGTGCAGCATGATCTAAGTAATAAGCCACGTAGGAAAGTAACCCTTGAAAGTTGAAATCTGTATTTCTTGTAATATACAGTTGGACTGCTTTCTATAACTTTACCACGTTTTGTATGCATGGTATTGGTTAATAGTAGAGGAGAAGAAAAAATGCATGACCTATTCAGGGAAGCTGATCGGTTAATGGCTGTCACATTTCAGAAGGAAGAATATTTAAAGATTTAATAGGAAGGAAGAATATGGGTCAGCTCCACACCGGGGGGGGGGGGGGGGGGGGGGGGGGGAGGTCAGCTCCACGCCGCTTCCATTATCCTAAGACATAGTATATATAACAGTGTATAAACTTTTTAAAGAGGAGCAACTTTTTAAATTCTTTGCATAGAGATTAACATACCACAAACTTGTTATAATGGGAAACAATGTAAAAGGGAAAGAGAACTATTCGTAATTACTAATTAGAGTAATTATGCACCGCGACCGTGCGCGTGGACAAATAGACAATTAATAAGACCAACTGTTGTTGGTGAATTGGCTTGTTCGAACACGCGTTGCTTATGAGTTATGACTAATGAGTTACCGCATATTTTTGTCTACTTATGAGATTAATGGTTCCCATGAATCTTTTGATAATTGTGTAATTATTTAATTATAATAACGGCAGACGGTTTAAAATGTTCAGTGATTGACAATTTGATTTTGACGGTGAGGTGCGGATCAACCAACATCTCATCTATGAAATTGAAGGTAGAATTACATATCATGATCGGTTTCCATTGATCTTCAAATCAATCCTATCTTTTAGTAGTACTGTAATTGCAATTCCGCTGCATGTGACAGAAAATTAAACGGCTTTGAGGAATAATCTTAAAAGCAATTGATTTCGAAATTCTTATTTTTATCTTATAATTTTATAAATGAGGGTGATTGTAAGAAACTTGATCGCAAGCAATGAATTATTCTCTTTAGTCTTTACCCGTGCTTAGTTTCAAAGCGTAGTTGAAAGGTGCCTCCGCTCGAGGGTGCAATTTCTGTAGTTTCTGACACAACTGTAACGAATCCTCATCGTTATCTGAACATGTTGATTGGAGTTAGGTATTTATAAGATATTTAACATGTTGGTTAGGTATTTATAAGATATTTAACATGTTATTAGGTATTTATAAGATATCTAACATGTTATTAGGTATTTATAAGATATTTAACATGTTGAAGTTAAACGTTGTCATATAGTATGGTTCCATTTTGCCATTTTTGCAACCTATTTTGTCTAACCCTAAAAATAAGAGTACCATTTGAACGAATATGAACAAATGCACATATTTAAGCTGCCCCGTTTCAAGTAACGGGTACTAGTACACACGAATGAACAGCACTTACAATTATTGTGAGCTCTAACGTAGCTCTCAATATAGGTGGAATTCTCGGGATTCCTGTGGTACAGCGCCTCAAACACGTCAGCACTGTCCTCATACTCTCCTATCCGGGCGTGGAGGTCTCCTGAAACAGTGGTCAGTTAGGTGAAACAGTGGTCAGTTAGGTGAAACAGTGGTCAATTAGGTGAAACAATGGTCAGTTAGGTGAAAAAGTGGTCAATTAGGTGAAACAGTGGTCAGTTAGGTGAAACAGTGGTCAGTTAGGTGAAACAGTAGTCAGTTAGGTGAAACAGTGGTCAGTTAGGTGAAACAGTAGTCAGTTAGGTGAAACAGTGGTCAGTTAGGTGAAACAGTGGTCAGTTAAGTGAAACAGTGGTCAGTTAGGTGAAACAGTGGTCAGTTAAGTGAAACAGTGGTCAGTTAGGTGAAACAGTGGTCAGCTAGCTAGCTAGGTGAAACAGTAGTCAGTTAGGTGAAACAGTGGTCAGTTAGGCGAAACAGTGGTCAGTTAGGTGAAACAGTGGTCAGTTAGGTGAAACAGTGGTCAGTTAGGTGAAACAGTGGTCAGTTAGGTGAAACAGTAGTCAGTTAGGTGAAACAGTGGTCAGTTAGGTGAAACAGTAGTCAGTTAAGTGAAACAGTGGTCAGTTAGGTGAAACAGTAGTCAGTTAAGTGAAACAGTGGTCAGTTAAGTGAAACAGTGGTCAGTTAGGTGAAACAGTGGTCAGTTAGGTGAAACAGTGGTCAGTTAGGTGAAACAGTGGTCAGTTAAGTGAAACAGTGGTCAGTTAGGTGAAACAGTAGTCAGTTAGGTGAGACAGTGGTCAGTTAGGTGAAACAGTGGTCAGTTAAGTGAAACAGTGATCAGTTAGGTGAAACAGTGGTCAGTTAGGTGAAACAGTGGTCAGTTAGGTGAAACAGTGGTCAGTTAGGTGAAACAGTGGTCAGTTAGGTGAAACAGTGGTCAGTTAGGTGAAACAGAGGTCAGTTAGGTGAAACAGTAGTTAGTTAGGTGAAACAGTGGTCAGTTAGGTGAAACAGTAGTCAGTTAGGTGAAACAGTGGTCAGTTAGGTGAAACAGTGGTCAGCTAGCTAGCTAGGTGAAACAGTAGTCAGTTAGGTGAAACAGTGGTCAGTTAGGTGAAACAGTGGTCAGTTAGGTGAAACAGTGGTCAGTTAGGTGAAACAGTGGTCAGTTAGGTGAAACAGTGGTCAGTTAGGTGAAACAGTGGTCAGCTAGCTAGCTAGGTGAAACAGTAGTCAGTTAGGTGAAACAGTGGTCAGTTAAGTGAAATATATGGACTTTAAAATGCTGAAAGAATATATTTCGACTGTGCCAAATTCGGTAAAAAATTAAGACACCGAGACAAGTTGACCATGGCTAATAAACTTTCCATGTCATGCAATGTGTATTGTGTATTAAACTACATGAATTTGGAATGCCTTCTGATCACAGTCTTCCATCATGTTATATCGTAGAGCACGATCCGAGGACAGTAGTACATACCATACATATGACATACCGTACATACCATACATACTTTTTCAAGTTGGTAGACGAGTGGTGAGAGCTGGCTGACCTCAGTACCCTCGTTTACTTGCGTAAAAACACCGTTATTACAGTTAGCCGGACTGTTAGCCGGACTGTTAGCCAGACTGTTAGCCGGACTGTTAGCCGGACTGTTAGCCGGACAGTTAGCCGGACTGTTAGCCGGACTGTTAGCCGGACTGTTAGCCGGACTGTTAGCCGGACTGTTAGCCGGACAGTTAACCGGACCTTTTACCGAGTTTCAGAACCACCTCTCATTATCAGAACTTCCAACAAGATTTAGTAAAATAGTTTTTAACACCCGGTTTAGTGGCTTGTTTGCTGGGAAACTGTTCTAGGGCAGTGATAGGAATCATGAGTAGAGTGTTGTAACTTGAAAATGCGTTTACTTTTTATATTATTGGTTTGTTTATACCGCTTGATGCTTGAAAACTCGACATAGAGGCTAACTTTCCTCTTGATTCTGCGTTTACTAACTTACTAACCTTACATGACATTTGGTTTCAGCCCTAACTCCATTTATCAAAGCAAGACTAAACTACTGAGGGAGAATTATGATGTTACAATTTAAATATTTCCCGCCACAACAACTTACTACTGTTACACTGTAACCATTAGAGCGCACGATAACAGTTTGAGTTAAAGCTGCAATCAATATGTTAATAATATTTACATCTTATGCAAGGAACTTAACATATTATCTTCTTGACCTTTTAGTAGTCTCGAATTCAAAGCTTGCCCGGATGAGGGACTATTTAAATAGGCCCCTAAGTAGGCCCCTAAATACGTCTGCTTATATTATCCAGTGCCCTTATCAGCCCAATCAGGTGGTGGCTGGGTAACCCTGTATTATCAGGTGGTGGCTGGGTAACCCTGTATTATCAGGTGGTGGCTTGGTAACCCTGTATCATCATGAATATTACACGTCATAGAGATGGGAAGCTCTCCAGCATCGCCGCAACTATTGTCTTGAGCTGGGTTAATATGGTAAGTGGGTACATTAGGAACTATTAGAGGCTCTCATCGGTCATAAACATTGTGCTCGGGTACCTTAGACCTTGGCCGTTACCCTGGTTACCTTATCATATGCCCACATCCAGAAAAGCAGATCGCCAGATAATCTAGGAGAAAATTGAGAATCAAAGTCTATGATCTGAATTTTAAAGGCACATTACATGATTATTTGTGAAACTACGATAAATGGTGCCAGCTGGCCGTGTTTTACTTGGAGAGTAAAACACTATTTTCGAGGGCTTCAGATATTTGTGTTTCACTGTAGATTTTAATGTGGCCATACAAAAACGCAAAAGATTTCCGGGGCCCAGCTTCAAATGCCCCAAAACTGTTTTGCTTCACTCGCTGCGCTAGCCGACATTGTGAAAGTCGGAAATTCACGAGCGAAGCTAACGGGCCATAGAAAACAGAAAATTTGTATCTGGGAGGAAATTTAAAATTTTCTGGATGTTGGATTATATGCTTACTATATCTACATATCATTACTGTTTGGGTCTGATGACGGTGATATTTATTGTACTGGTAACAGTTTTTGAAATTGTGTTTTCATTTATAATATTTTCCGGTTCCGATTGCAAGGGGTGTAATCCGATACGTGCGCATGATACAATATAGTGTCTAATATATAGAACGCCAGTGTTATTTGTATTATAACTGATAATACTCTCTCATTCTACGTTCGGGCGTTATCATGCGCGGCCCTCAGAGCGCGAGAGTATTATTGCGTTAAAACACGATAGCCTGAATTAAACTTTTAGTGATTCATTTTAACTGATATCTTAAAACTAGAGCTTGGTCCACAGGGGTTTGGATTTAGTTTCAGTACTGCAGTCAGTAGGTTTCAGAAGTCCTACCAGGATAACCACCTCTCTAACTATCAGTGTTACAGATGAAACCTTATAGAACAATCTGGTGGATTCGTGTAGTGTTTTTGAGTCTCATGATTTGATAGTTCTTTTATTCAAATTTCTGATTGTTTCTGAATAGACTCAGTGAAGACAAATTCTAATGGAAATAAATAGCTGAATAACGTATCGACATTTCTACGTCATACTCATATTCTGAAATAGTATTAATTCAATTATAACGATCAATATTCACATTAAAAATTTGACGACGAAATTTATTTCAAACAAAATATATAACTGTAAAATAGTTATCAACCGTAAATAGTTTTTAACGAAATCGGAGCAAATAGTTAGGGAGGATATGTCAGGAATATCAATGGCGTTGGATTAGTTTGTTAGAAGCAATTTGACTTCAAAAATCACTAGCTGGAAGCCCAAACTAAAGGATTTTTATAGGTGGCAATTTTTATTTTGGCGGGAACACCCATATACGGGCCACGCCCTTTTTCAGGGTTTCACGGTCACTCGAATTTTTGTATTTCAGCCCAGGAAAGTCTTAAAGACTATTCCGATACACCAAAATGTGCCTAATAGCCACATTTATATACAACTTATGAAGCAACATATACCTTAAAATGCTTCGTTTCGGAGATATGGCCGAAAAACGGTTTTTGGCTTGACGCAGTTCATAATTTCCGTGATTTTTGGCATTTCCGCCTAGGAAGGTCGTAGAGACTATTCTGATACACTAAAATGTACATAATGGCCACATTTATATACAACTTATAAAGCAACATATACCCTAAAAGACTTATTTTCGGAAATGTGGCTGAAAAACGGATTTTTGCCGAGCGAACAATGACAATATTCACAAATGGGCTATTGGACTGTTAACTAGAAAGGTCTTAAAGACTCATGAGCAACACAGCATTTGTAAGATTACTCACTTTCTGTCCAGAAAAACCTACAAAAATTGGAGATTGATCTACTTTATTGGGCATATCTCTTAATGGGCCAGGCCAGCAGCATATTTGTGTCTTACGAAAGGGCAATTTTTCAAAATTACGGTTTCTTTAGTAAGGGTGAATGGGTCAGTTGCTAACAGCAAATTGTTCGCAATTACCGACTCCTGCACATCTATATACTAATCATACTATACTCAAAAACGCTCACTTTAGGAGTCATTAATAAATAACTACTACATGATTTGTGAAAACTCTAACAATTTTTCCTTGGCACCAATTTAGCCAAAATGTAATGACCAAAATTCAACTTTTGATTTATTCATTCCATGAAACCATTATATGTACTAAGAATACGGGACCTAAAATAACTCGGCACTGGATCCGGGCCAGATTGTCGCTTGACCACTGACCAGTACCCCACTTTATAATTATAATTGACTTCACTGCCTCGACCAATATTGGTCTGTAATCCCTGGATTGAGATCTGTTGGCTGCAGTTTAATTTAGCTCATTAACCATAATAGTAATACCGCAGTGGTTTGGTTTCCATAGATTTTCCCATTGTATGATAATGTCTTAATGTGTGTCATTCCCTCGTTTTTTAATCAAGTGGTTACTGGCTAGCTCTTTTGTTATTACAGCTGCCTCGAGATCTTATCTAGGGCACAATACATTAGTACTAGAACATTAGAACTGTAATTCTAGAACTTCAGATTAAGATTACTTGGCCGGATGGCAGGGTTCGATA